CAGGGCTGCGTCAGCCAGCAAGTGGGCTCTGAGCTTCTGGAGGTCAAGTCTGTGACCCGGCTATGGACCTGAGGGGACACCAGACCCCTCTACCATGGGTTCTGTTGGTTAAAAATACAACAGTTGCATTCGTAGCGCTAGTTACTTAAAAAACAAGACTTCACCCTCTTTTCCCCCATCCAACTGTAAGACAGGAAAAATTCATTAAGCATTTATTTTTAGGTTTCTGAATTGCTATTAAAATTCAATCAAATGTAAAACCTAACAGACAGCCCCAAATTGTTAGGAGTATCTCAAGGGACCCTGAATTGGGCAGTGAAGTTGACATGAACTGAAATGAGCTGGACTCCGCTGTTGGCTGTCTCCGCCCCAACAGTCATCTGTTTGTTCCCCCGGAGTGGTCCCATGCCACCCCTCGATGAGAGCGCTGGGCAGCAGCAGGGTGTGGTTTTTGGGAAGCTACTGGTTTTGCCATTTGCTTCCAGAATCACATAGACTATGACGAACTTGACATTGAACACTGTTTAGTCCTGAGTTGGGGAAAGCCTGGGGAGGGGCCGAGTTCATTAGGACTCTTCCCTCCTTTGCCTGGTGTCATACATGGCCTTTCGCTCTCTCTCCTTCCACGGCTTGGCTTCTGGTTTCCTTTTCATTGGTGACCCCTTCTAAAGTCTTCTTGCCCATTGCTTTACTGGCCTCTTCCTGAGGAAGAAACAGTGAAATGCTCAGTTAGTTCCTGGCCCCACAGACCACAACAGGTCCCCCATGAGGGGGCAGAACAAGGACTGGACTGAGGTTTCCCGACTGCGTAAGCCAGGCTGCGCTGCCAACAGTCAGAGCGGGAGTGTTTACTTTTCTTTAGTTAAAACAACTAGCTTGGCACTGTTTAATAACCAAGTCCACGTGACAAGCAGGTTGGGAGTGAAGGATGAGCTCAGGGGCAGAACACAACTCGTGGCAGGAGAGGCTGGCCTGTCTCATCACCTTTGCCAGGGTGGCTCCCGAACCTCCAAGCAGAGGGCATGGCGGTGGGCTTCCCCACCACGGCCCATTTTCTGGGAAAATTGGAGGTCTCAACATGAAGGTATTATCTGGAAAAAACCTGATGCACTTGATTTTTAAAAAATAATAAAAGCTTTTGCCTGGCTGGTGTGGCTCAGTGGTTGAGCACTGACCTATGAACCAGGAGGTCATGGTTTGATTTCTGGTCAGGGCACATGCCAGGGTTGTGGGCTCCATCCCAGCAGGGGGCGTGCAGGAGGCAGCCAATCAATGACTCTCTCCCCCTCTCCCTTCCTCTCTCCAAAATCAATAACAACATATAATGAAACAAAAAACAAAAATAAAAGCTTTAGCACATGTCTATGGAATTAACTTTCCTCACCTCCTGTAGGACACATCAGTGCCTCTACTACGTGCCTTGGTGAGCAGAGCAGCCCCTTTCTACCTCTGGGCCCAGAGCCCCTCAGGGCAGCTCGGAAACTTTTCCCTAGTCTCTGCTTCCGGGCCACGGAGCTGTCCCCATGCCCAAGCTTCATCTTCTGAGAACACAAGTCAAAGGCAAGGTCAGTTCTGATCTACCTGGCGGCAGTGGGCTCTGCACACACCTTGGCATCCTGCTCTGCAAACTTGGTGAACATGTTGGCATAGATCCTGCGGTCCCGCTCGTTGTGCTCCTTTGCCTTCCTCTGGCACATGGAGATCTGCAGTCTCGCGGCCTTGTTCTGGGGGTTGACCTCCAGCACCTTCTCAAAGTCACCCCTGGCCGACTCGAACTCGTTCATGAGCAGCTGGGCTTCACCCCTCCTGTACAAGCCCTTCTCATTGGCACTGTCCAGTCCTAGGGCCTAGAACAGATGGTGTATGTTTTAGAAAAAAATGATGTAACTTGTGGGAATTATAAAGAAACTCAGTATTTAAATAACTTACTAAAGCCCTCTGGCCTTAGTTAGACAAAGCGTACTGAAAAGATGGGCTCAAGGTTACTGCATACTACTCATCAAAACACAACTACCCAAATTAATTTCCGTTTTAATACAATTTCTATAAAGATCCCAAAGGATTTGGAAGGGGGATCTTGAGAAGTTCGTTTTAAAGTTCAATGAAAGGAGTAAATGCCCAAGAATGGCTGAGAAAATTTTGGAAAAATGAAAATAAGAGGGAACTGAGTTGCCTTACCTGAGAAAAAAAATATACTGTTCATTTTTTTAAAAAGTAAACCTAGTTGGAACAGGTTTTGCAAGTACTGAATGGGGTTATTTTTATACTCTTACGGTGGGGAAGACTTCTAATTAGAAAGGAAAAGGCAGATTTGACTCTGTAAACACTAAAACTTTCTTTACAGAAAAAGATACCATCAATGAAGTTTAAAGACACATAAGGGGAGCAGGGCCTTATCGTCTCTACTGTCAGACAGAGGGTTGATAGTGATCATGTACAGACTGTCTCAATCGATCGAAAACAAAGAAGGCAATTCACAGAAGTACAAATGGCAAATAAAGAAAACGTGCAGTAAGAAATGAAGAAAAATTTTTTGTTGCCAATAATACTGAGAAAAAAAACCACTGATAATATTCAATGATAATATATATTAAAATTTAAAATGTTACTGTATTTAAACAATCATGTCTTTTGACCCAGTATTTCCACTTCTAGGAATTTATCCTATAGAAACAATCCCACAAGTATGCAAAGAGAGACACCACATAATTTGATATATCAAAACCTGGAGCCCAGTTGGCAGGGCTCTGGCTGAGCGTCGACCTAGGATCCAGGCGATCAGGGTTCGATTCCCGGTCAGGGCACATGCCCAGGTTGCGGGCTCGATGCCCAGTCGGGGGCGTGCAGGAGGCAGCCGATCATTGACCCTCCCATCATTGATGTTTCTATCTCTCTCTCTCCCTCTCCTTTCCTCTCTGTGGAATCAATAAAGATATATTTTTAAAAAACAAAACAAAAACCCTGGAAATTTACCAAAAGGGATCAGTTAGATAAACCATAGATATGTACAATGGATACTAAATAGATCTTTAAAAGAATGAAGGAGAGTTATATGATAGATTGATAAGATGCAGAAAAATGTCCTCGTTTTATAAAACTATATACCTAAATCTATATATTCTAATTTTATTTTTATTTTTAAAAAATATGTCTATTGATTTCAGAGAGAGGGAGGGAGAGGGAGAGAGAGAGAGATAGAAACATCAGTGATGAGAGAGTCATTGATCGGCTGCCTCCTGCACGCCCCCTGCTGAGGATCGAGCCTGCAACCCGGGCACGTGCCCCGACCGGGAATCGAACGGTGATCTCCTGGATCACAGGTCGTGGCTCAGCTGCTGAGCCACGCTGGAGTATGTGTGAGATGAATGAGTGGTTTTGGGAGAGACAGTCAGTGGGAATTTTATAAGCTTTTACTTTCCTGTATGTTTCCATAATTCTGACTTCTGAATAACTTTATACTACTATAATAAAAAATAGAGAAGCGAAAAGCTTAAAAATGTGATTAACAGTAACTTTTTTTCTTAGGCAAAAATTGAGTAAAATATGATATTCTGGGAACATACTGATCCACAAAACTCAAAACCTTAAAATTCCAAAATAATCTTACAAAGAAGGTATGAAATTGTTGCTTCTTTCTTACCCTTTTCTGTTTATCTTTAAGGTACATGCAACTATTGGCTTTTACCCACAGCGTAACACACACGGTTCACTCTGAGAGCAGACACCTGCCTAACAGCCAGCGCCCGGGGACGCGTGTGTAAAAGCACCAGAACCACGCTGCAGACGGACTGTGCCGGAGCCCCGGGCACGAAACACACCGATGCAAAAAGGGGGAGCGCTGTGAAGCTGGGTGGGCCTTTCAAATTATTTGTGTGTATCCTTAATCAGGGATAAAATAAATAACAAAACGTGACTTCTTTATAGATCCTCTACATGAGCCACTGGGGCCTGTTACATGCAAGTCCTGAAAAGCTTAAGATCAATCTGTTCTTATTAATGTGAACCTGAGGAGCTATATGTCTAATCTGATACCAAGTGCTACAGATTTAAGACAGGTCATGGATAAAAATTGTTAAATTTTATCAAAACTTTTATTCATGCCCTGGCCAGGCGCTCAGTGGTTAGAGCGTTGACCTGCAGACCAAAGGGTGGCGGGTTTGAGTCCCGTCAAGGGCACATATCTCGGTTGCGGGTTTGCTCTCCACCCCGATCAGGGCAAGTGCGGGAGGCAACCAGCTGATGTGTCTCTCACTCGATGTTTCTCTCTCTCTTCCACTCTCTAAAAAAGTAATCAATGGGAAAAACATCCTCAGGTGAGAGTTAAAACAACAAGAACACTTTTATTCATAAGGTATTATTATAAATGGTCGAGGCATCAGAGAAGTCCTTCGTTAAAACCTTTCTGAGTTTCCCAGTTCGTGCTGAGAAACGGATAAGCCCCAACAGTCAGTAAGGCCGGGAGAGAAGCCGGCCCGGGGCGGCGGGGACGCGCGGGCCCTACCTTATCGCAGCACTGGACGGCCTTGGTGTACTCGCGGAGCTTCAGGTAGCACATGGCCAGGTTGAGGAAGGCGGCGAGCAGGAAGGACTCCGAGGCCTTGGACTCCTTCTCCGACAGGCCGTACTCCATCTCGAGCCAGGACACGATCTTCCCGTACTGAATCACCGCCTGCAAGTACTTGCCGCCCTGCGGGAGAGGAGCGGCAAATGACTCTGTCCCCACGGAACGCGGCCGGGCACGCTCGGGCCTCCCTGGGCACCAAATCCTCGAATGGAAACCCGCCTCGTACAGGCCCCGGGATCCCATCATTTCTTTTTGTTCTTAGGGTGGCTGGCCAGGCACCTCTTCTTCCTGAGGTCGCAGCGGCCCGTGGGCTGGTCCAGGCCAGCACGGCCCAGGCTGCTCCCCCGCACGCACCCTCGCCCTGCCCCCAGGGGCAGGTGTCGCAGCGGGAGGGCAGCAAGGCTTTGGGGTCACGTTCTGCGGAGCTAGTATCTGCCTGCCAGCCTTCCAGAGGCTGGTGAGTAGCCTCAGGCCACGTCACTGGCCCTCCTGGCGGGGAGGGTCCCTCTCCTCTGCCCGGGACATCAGCACTGCACAGCAGGCACATTCCAGCAAATCTTTAGTGATCTAAAGCAGGGGCCGGCAAACGTTCTGCGAAGAGGCAGGTACTGAAATGCAAGGCTTTGCAGCCCAAACACTCTGTTACAACCCTGTCGCTGGCACTGCAGAAGCAGCTGAGGAAACAGAGAAATAAGTGGGTGTGGCTGTGTCCCCATCGAACCCGCCCTCGAGAACAGGCTGGGGTTTGCTGACCTCTGTCCTATGGACAGTGGGAATACACACAGTTGAACAGCAGCATCCAACAAAAATAACTATGAAACAAATCGCAGAGGTGTCCGTTAGCTACATGAGAAAAACCTTTCTCTTAATCATGCTTTGCCCTTACCTGACTGGCAGAATTCGAACACACTGTGAATAAGTGTAATTAATTCTTGTGAAAATGAATTATACATTTGCTCTATATAAGAAATGATGGGGCCGAGACAATGTGTGTGCTGCCGTTTTAGGATGAATGAGAGAAAGGTGACCATAAAGCTCAAAACCAGGTGACACATCTTCCCGGAGGGCAGCCAGACCATGAGGACAGTAAACCCACTGTGAGCGACACAGTGTCAGTGTCAAATTGAGATGACGTCGCCAGGGTTCATGGGTCAAAGCAGGGCGCCCACTCCGTGCAGAGGGTCGTGTCTCCCCTCAGGTGCTCCTCTCGCCACGCCTCACTCGGCCACTAAGAGAAGAATCGCAGAGCAGGTCTGCGGACGTCCCTGTCCCTGTCCCCGCCGTAAAGGACTTCAGAGGGCTGGCTTAAGAAATGAGCTCCGCCCGCGGAAGGAAGCCCTGCGGTCTGCTTTCGGCGAGGACGGGCAGGCCGGTGCCAAGTGGAGAGCCCGGGTCTGAACCAGGGGGAAGCTGCACCCCCAGGGCCCTCTTCACAGGGAGGACGGGCCGGGGCGGCAGAGGGTGCCCCGCTTCTGCTTTACAAACGCAGTGCAGGCGGATTCGGGGGGCTTCTGGAGGCGGCTCCTAAATCAGCGTGTGGGCCTCGCCGCTGGGGAATTTGATACGGGCTGTAAGAATATGAAACCGGGCCCTTTCATAATAAATGCTGAAATTCTAGAGGAAATACTATTGTGCTTGCTATGGACTGAACTGACCCCCCATTCATATGCTGAAGCCCTACCCCCAATGTGGTGTTCTGAGGTGGGGCCTTTGGGAGGCAATCCGGTTTGGGGGACTCTGGAGGTGATGCCCTCGTGGTAGAATTAGTTCCCTTGTGAGACACCAGAGAACTTGCTGCGTCTCTCCCCCCACCCACAAGCACCTAGGGAAAGTCACGCGAGGACCAGCACGAAGGAAGCCACCTGCCAGCCAAGAACAGGGCTCTGCTGAGACCCTGCTGGCACCCTGACCTTGGGCTCCATCTCCGGAACTGGGAGAAGTGAATTCCCTTTGCTTAAGTCTAGTTTCAGGACTTTATTACGCAGCCGAGGTAACTAAGACACTCATTATCTTTTGTCACAGCCAAAGGCTCACCTCTCCTTTTCTGGCCACTACAAAAATAAAAGGAAGAAAGCCCTCGCCCAGTTCCAGGGTTCCTCTCCGTCACTCTCTTCTCCTGCTGGACTGTGAGCTCCCCGAGGACAGGAAGCATGTTCCATCCCTTCTGGAGTATCGCATGTTTAGCACAAAGAGGCCCTTCATGCAGGTTTGCTGAATAAATATTAAGTCAAAGGACTATAACTAGGGAATCCAAAGTTGTTCTATCCCTGGGAGCGACACGGAGGTGGCAGGAATGAAAGGTGTCGCTCCCGTTAGACAAGGCAGGGACGGCTTCCCTGCTGTGCCTAGTTCCCTCTCCCTCTCTCCCCTTCATCTTTAATGTACCGTTACCTTCCCGACGATCTCCCACTACACTGTTTCAGGGAAAGGAAAGAGGAGCCAGGGAGCGCACAGGCCAGGTCTCAGCACCTCGGCAGGTTGTGGCTACGGGTTCTAAACAGAAAAACAGCAGCAGCCTCCTAGCAGCTCCTTACGCTGAGAGGCCACGTGAATTTCGTGAAAGCTCTTTCATATATGATTCTACATCATTTTCTTTAGATCTCAACTTCCAATGAGCACAGGTATTTGTTTTGTGGTACTTCTGCTTCTGATGTGCTCACACAGGAATCCCCCACGGGGATGACGGTGGCCTCCGGGACATCTGGCCATGTTTGGAGATGGTTTTTAGTTGTCGTGACTGGAGGGGTGTCTGTACTAGCGGCATCTAGTGGGTAGAGGCAAGGAATGCTGCTAAATATCCGACAATGACCATGACAGCCTCCCAACAACACAGAATCATACGTCCCCAAACGTCAGTGCCGAGGCTGAGAAATCCTGCACGAAGAATGTAAGGCCCTGGCTGGTGTGGCTCGGTGGGAGTGCTGTCCCGTGCACCAAAAGGGGGCAGGCTCGATTCCCGGTCCTGGCACATACCCAGGTTGTGGGTTTGATCCCTGACCGATGTTTCTCTCTGACATCAATGTCTGTCAGTCTCTTTCTTCCTCCCTCCCTAAAATCAAGTAAAAAGTAAATAAATAAATAATGTAGGAGAAAGAAGTCAGGGTTGACTCTTACGAGTTTTTTTACCCTAAAATCCTAGACTCATAAATGACTTATTTCTAAATCATAGCACTGGTTTCCTGGTTCAGCAAGGGCGGTCAAAACATAGTAAAAGCCCGGTCTGTCTGAAAAGGGTTCCGGGGCTGAAAGACGGTCCCTAAGCAGCTCGCCGTGGGGATGCCTTCCTCCCACGGAGCACACGGGGGCGCCAGAAGCACACGTCCCTGCTCTGTCCTCAGACTTCCTGCCACCGCCTGTGTCAGAAGAAACTCTAAGCGGCTGTGACAGTGAATGCTCTGGTCCTGCTGAATGCTGTCAGCTACGGGGAGAAATGAAAACCGTGTCTGCTTAACTGACGCGCACAATGCCTTGGCGGGATGGCATGTTATCTGGGCTTGATTCTGTCTAAGCCACGAAAGAGAGGCCTCTCCCACCTTTCTTTTCTTCAGTGCTCAGAGGCTGATACGAGGAATGCACAATCTGAACAGCAAAACCACTCACAGTCGGCCGGCCACAATTCAGCTCTCCTAAGGGGAGAGATTTACCCACTTCAGTGAAAACCCAATCGCAGGTCAGTGGAAATGGAGCTCCAATGTCCTCATGGCCTGACATGCACATTTTAATGTCACCTCTCTGCTGTCACCACAAGTCTGGACTCTGCATGTGCACAATGCTCCAGGTCAGCCCCCGGAAAGACGAGGCCCAGGAGGGCAGTGTGGAGACTGAAACCTGCCCTGAAATCTCAAAAGGGAATGTGGACAGGAAATGACCCACTGACCAGTTTGAGGCCTTTGGGCTAAAGCCAGGCTCACTGCCAGGATCTTTTACCTATAATTAGGGAGGTGCCTCCGGGGAAGTGTTTGGTAGTACAAAATGTTCAGAGACATTCTGGGAGAAAAGTCTTAGGTCAGTGGTTTTGAACCTTTTATGAATTTTCCCCCAATGGACTAGTGTTTTGAAAGATTTCGTCTGTCAAGTTGCATGTTAAAAATAATATGTTCCATATGTGTGACTGCTGATCCAGGTTTTATTCAAAGATCAGTCATTTTAAGAGGGTTCAGTTGTGATACTAAGAAGCAACCAAATTCAGTAACTGTACAGACACTTAAGCAAAGCTTTTTGCTACTGATCACAAATTCTGGCTTCTCTCTCTGTGTTCAGGACACAGCCCTTGATATGACATGCGCCCTTGCCATTGTCAGCAATGTTCCCCAACGTTCCGAGCCATCAGCAACCAACAGAGCTTCTGAGCCGTCGAGCTGTTTTACTCTAACTCCAGTTAAATGCCGAGGGCCTCAAACACCCCGCCTCAACTGTTAATGTTCTACTTAGAAGTTTTGGGAAGTATTAAAAAAATACATTTAAAGACTTTAATGGACTCCAGGCATATAGGAAACACCATTCAGGACCTGTGGTCTAAAGGGATTTTACAGAAAAATTTCTCTTTATTCTAGTGTATTGTGTATTTGTGTCTACGAAAAGCGCACTCAGAATCTCACTTGAATAGTTTACAAGTATCCAATATACATAAATTGAATTTAAAAAAATCAAACTTGCTCTCTTGAGTTTAAAAACCCACAGGGCTGGGAAGAAACTTGGGGATCATCTAATCTAACTCCCTCAAGTTTTCACTTGAAAAAATAACCTCTTTAGACCTTAAGTGACTTTAAATCATCTGGAGCAATAACACCCAGTTTCCCCAGGGTCAGACTCAGAGCTCTCTCCACCATGCCCCAATGCTTCCTGGTGATCCATACTTTATTTTACTATGCAATATACACCCCCACTAAATTGATTTCATGACCCAGTAGCGGGTCTCCTCGCAGTGTGGGAAACAATAACCACGCCCGTGTCTCCCGCGTGCACACCGCCTCTGCTCCAGACAAGGCTGTCAACCAACGGCACGTCTTACAGCCAATGCTCCGCAAGGACTTGTTGAAGCACATTTACGCATCACTGCTGTAGACTGTTGAAAACATCATCTAATTTTTGTTCTTGGGTTGCAGCAGCAAGAAAAGAGGGAAAGAAGCCTGGACAGCACTGCCCTTTCTCCGGCTCTCTTGCTCACTCAGCCCTTCCTGACACGGAGCAGGGACATATCTGGGGTGGGAAGCACTGATCAGAACGGAGTAAAGTGTTCTCTTTTTGTTTTCTATGGAGAGGGGGTGCTAAGATCTAACTGAGGAAATCACACATTCCTAGGCGTTAGAAGAAAGGGTTTTCGAGAAGCAATCAATGACAAAGCTCACTCACAAACGCAGGGGTGGCGGGGACCTTCCTGGCCACCAGGAGAAATGAATCCTCTCCTGCCAGTTCCTTCTGAAAGGTGCTGGTTCTCTTTCCTCTCCTCACGTGACTTCACCAAGGCCATGGAAACGGCGTGAAACTCACCTCTACGAACTCCCTGGCTGCTAACAATTATTTTATTCTTTCTTTGTCTCATCCCACAAATGCTTACTGAGCGCAACTATGTACCAAAGCAAGGTGCTTCCCGCCTGCAGCGACCCCGTGGTGGCCGGCAAGCCGACCTGGCCTGCCTTTAGGGACGGCTACGATCCAGAGGAGACCATGTGGAAGAGGCATCCGCGCCCGGGCGGGAGGCTCGGTGAGCTGGGGCCGCGTCCTGTACAACAGAAGGCTGTGGGTTCAGTCCCCGGTTGGGGCGCCTACAAGAGGCACCGATGTTTCCGTTTCTCTCTCTCTCAAATCAATAAACATATTCTCGGGTAAGGATTTTTAAAAAAGGCATTTGTATTCTTTTTGTCACGTTAATTCATTTGTTCTCACTATTACACTGTGAATGACAGACCTGTAAGAATTCAGGCTCACTCTTACCCGGAGGGGTGCTGATAAACTTCAGAGGAGGGAGTGTCAGGGCGATTCACGGACTCCCGAGGAAGTCCTGAGGCAGAAAGGGCTGCTCAGGAACCCACATACCTTGAAGTACACAGTTCCCTTCTCCTTGACGATGGCAGCCTGCTCCAATTTTTCTTTGGTATCCATCTCCCAGGATTCTTTGGCCTGTGTGTAAATTTGTGACAATGGTTAGGTGAACGGAGAAGGAAAAGGCGTCAGCTGATGCCTGTAAGAACAAGGCCACCCACACCTCAAACACGCTGGCTTTTAAAGCCGCCACTGCCGAGTCACCGCCAGGCTAGAACTCGCTTTCCAATGACAAAGCTCCAGCGAGAAGGAAACCGTGGGGGCTGCTGCAGAGCGCGTCTTTAGATGGGCAGGTGAGGCCCACAGCGAAAGCCAGAGGCCCTAATTTCCCTCCCGCAGCCGGCGCCACTAAACCGCCGTATGACCTCAGCAAGCTGTTTCTCTCAAGCCTCGGTTTTTCAACTCTAAAATGGGAACACTACTGTAGTCAAGTCAAGCTGTATATTCATGAGAATTTTTAAAATTCCAGACCATGTAGCTGTTTCTTCCATTCTGACGCAACCAGATATAATAAAGCTTCCACAGTGCACTCACCTGCGGTGTACACCTGGGGAATTGCAAGGAAAACATAACTGGGGGGCAAAGCTGATGCAAAAACGCCATTTCAAAGCCCCAAATAAATGATTTCATGGTCCTCTGCTCATCTGTATTGTGCGTATCATTCTTCTCCCCCATTAAAGGTGCGAATCCTGCCCAGCCCAGGGGCTCAGTGGTCAAGCATCGACCTAGGACCCAGGAGATCGGGGTTCGATTCCCGGTCAGGGCACAAGCCCGGGTTGCGGGCTTGATCTCCAGTCGGGGGCGTGCAGGAGGCGGCCGATCAATGACTCTCTCATCATTGATGCTTCTATCTCTCTCTCCCCCTCCCTTCCTCTCTCTGAAATCAATAAAGATATATTAAAAAATAATTAAAAAATAAAGGCACAAATCCAAGACAACTGCGTTTTCATTACGAACGGCTGGATTTAGAAGGATCAGAGTCCACAGATCCGCCTGGGGTCCTTTCGGGAGAAGGAAAAGGCCATGTCTGAGGTATGTGCTGCATGGGAATTATGCAGCTTAAGTGGGTGCCTATAAACTTCTATTCAAAAGGCACCTAGTGGGGTATTCCTGGTGTTAGAGGCCCCACCAAAGTGAAAATGAGCTACTAGTCTTTCTGGCACCCCCCCATTGCTTCTTAACAACTTAGCTCTATCATTAAAAATCTAGTAATAAGGTCCTGTGCGCTTTATATTAGGTTCAATCCTTATAGAATATAAAAATATTCTTACTATGAGGCAGAAAATTAAATCGCGTTGCCTCCAACATCGCACACCTTCACATGGTTTCAAATAAAGCAAGTGGTGTTATTCCCGGAGCAGTGACAGGTCCAGGCTCGCGGTGCGCACCAGCGGGGGTGCTGGGGAGCAAGGTCACCGGCCACGGGGGAGGGGAGGGCGCTACTTCATTAATATGGGAAGAGGCCAGTCAAGGCCCAAATAACCACCTGCTACAGATTCGCCTTTCTCTTTAACAATAAAACTCTGTGCTGTGGAGACAGCTCCGGAGGACCAGTGCTGAGCTAGCAGCCCTTCAGGAGAGCGCCGGTCACGGCGAGAGCGCGTCTGCTCCGGGGGTGTGAAGTGTGAGGGGTATGGTCAGGAACATCGCTGTTGGGGGAGAGCCCCAAAGCAGCCCTCCCCTGCCTTTCTCAGCCCGTAGTTACAGGTCTCCTTTCAGAACCGAGTAAAATATAAACAGTCACGTTTCCAGTTCACAGCTTAATGCACAGACCTGGAGGGAGCACTGGAAATAAGAAAGGCACACAAAATGCAGGGCTCTGGGCTCTCAGGACGGTGGGCTCCGGTGACTGATGCAAAGGGGACTCGGCTGGACAGGACGGAATGCCCAGCTCGGCATCTGCTTTGCGTTTGCCCAGTGAGGCTGCTGCTGGCGGCTGCCGGAGGCAGGCCTGAGATGGAAATACACTCGAGGAGGCACGCTGTTTCTGGAACTCAAGGCAATCGACAAACTCTTTTTTTCTACTTGGACAGATATGGGAAAAAAAAGGCCTGGGGTTAGCAGGTTTGTCCTTGTGTTCCTCGTCACAGAGGCTGGTGGCCCATTTTTGGATAATAACTGCACTTTTTGGATAATAACGTGGAGCCACAGTGAGGGCCTCTTCACCACTCCTGAGAAGGGTACAACCCGTTCAGCACTGGAAAACTGTGCCCCCTCCCCCAAGGAGCTGCTTGGCAGAACGTGAACCTTTTTGTCTTCAACCCAGGAAAAAAGTACAAAAAGAACAAGTCTAGGAACAAATAGGGAACAAGTCTTGGATTCTACCCAAAAAAGTACAAAAAAGGGCTGACACATAGGAACAAAATCAGAACACTGCGCTCCTTAGCTGTGATCGGCTGTGCGGGCTCAGGGGTCCACACTCCAGAGGCAGTCAGAGACAAGAGACAACATGCACGTAACACCAGCGACCTACCCCACCTGGCAATACATTCTCTAATTCACAGGAAGCGGATGGAGAAGAAATCTACCACGATTTCAGAGAAGTTGGTATTTTCTCACCTTTTCGAAGCTCTTAAGTGTAACTTCATATATAAGCTCAGCATTAGGTTCAATGCCAAATTTAGGCTTCCCTGCCTCTCCAAAACCATATCTGAAATGGAGAGTAGAAAAATAAAACTTCACAAGAATTGGTGTATTTCCAGGCACTTCCTTCGGTACTTTGCGGCATCACATCAGCGCAGAGCTATTGTCTGCGAGACCCTGAAGACAGACCAGATGCTGAGAAGACCCAGTGGCAGGTGCCACTGTGCAGCTGTCAAGAACCAACTGGACCGAGCTCTCTCCTCCTTCACGTTCATGTGTAAGGCAACACCCGTGCTCCTGGGCCCGCTTGCTTAATGCGGCCTTAAATGTCACTGCCTTTTTCCCTGCTTGATTTTCTACCTAGTTCTTTTTATAAAATAGCCATCATTTGGCTATCAGGACCCCTCCCTGAAGCTTCCGCAGCAGGAGGACAGGGAAGGCGGGCACTGTCATCGCTACAGTGCTGTTCCTTAGAGGTGTGTTTTAATAAGCTTTCAACTCGAAAGTGCTGTCTCCTCTAACAGCCCCACTTCCAGTCAGATGAATGGGAGGAAGGGCTCACACAGCAGGGAAAAAAATGTATTTTCGCAGTATTTCTTCAATAGTTTTAAAGAGCACACTAGAAAATACAAATGACATAACAAATATATGACCAAAAAGAACAGCCCTAGCAAGCTCTAACCCTCATAAAAGAAACACTCTTGCCCTGGCCGGTGTGGCTCGGTTGAGTGCCATCCTGTGCACTGAAAGGCCACCGGTTCAATTCCCGGTCAGGGCACATGCCTGGGTTGTGGGCTCGATCCCCAGTCAGGTGGGTGCAGGAGGGAACCGACCAATGTTTCTCTCTCACATCAGTGTTTCTCTCTCCTCTTCTGTCTCTCTCTACAAATCAATAAAAACATACTTGGAAGAGAAAAAAAAAAGGAATACTCTCACAGCTCTGTGGCTCTCACACTGTAAATGCTACACCTTTTAGCCAAAACTTACTGAACAAAATCACCGCGCACATATAAATCTGTTTTTTTGGATCATGCAGGGTTTTTAACAAATGCAAGGTGTTCGGGGACCACACGTCTACCAGAATGAAGTTCTGGTGGAGCTTTATCTGTCTGGTCAATGGTTTCCCAGCGGTTAACGGGGTGGGGGCCCTTTTTCTGCCAAGGGCCATTTGGATATCTATAACATCATTTGCAAGCCATACAAAATTATCAACTTAGAAACCTGCTTGCTATATTTGGTCAAACAATTAACTCACCCCTAATGTGATGGCTGGAACCGCTTCTCTTTGCTGAGGCCTTGGCAGGGCCAGACCAAATGATTTCACAGGCTGTATATGTTTAGAACAACGCCCATTAGGAAAGCGTGCCCTGGAAAGCGAGTCTGTTCTCATCTGTTTCAAGTCAGACTGCTCTTTAATATATGGAAGGACAATGCAAAAAACTTAGTAAACCCAAACTTCCAGGCTACGGGCTGAAAGATGCCAAACCAGGTCGATGCTAACGAATTTTCTGTGGGGCAAGCGGACCTGGGTGCAGATACACGAACCTCGCTCCTTGCCCTGCTGTCTGCCCCTTGCCTGACTTTCCCCGGAGGAAATCGAGGGCCCATTCACCTCCGCTGTTCCACGAGTGAAGGGAGCTGGGCAGCGCGAGGCACTGGCGGCTGGCAGGACTGGGCTGTGGCAGTCATGACAGCCGGGCAAGGGTATCTTCAGCAAAGAAATGAGCGCGGACGTAATTACCAGCGGCCAATTTTAGGAAGTGGTGACTAGCTCTACCTGAGCCTTCAGACCTACGTATCTGCTATTTTGTTTCTGCCAGCTGGTGAGTAAAGAACATTCCGTGACTGCTGGGAACCAGGCTGGTGGGTGAGCCCTTGCTGCGCGTGTTTACGGGCAGCATGTTATATTTGGAGCCCTGTGCTGAACAGGTACCGATCCAACAGATGATGTGGCACATGCCTCAGACCAGTGACATTTGGCCACGCCTAAAGATGGGTTTGTCACAACCAGGGAGGCGCTAGTGGCATCTAGTGGGTATAGACCAGGGATACTGTTGAACACCCTACAATGCACAACAGTCCCCACAACCAAGAAACATCCAGCCAAAGATGTCCACGGTGCTGAGGGTGAGCAAAGCTGCCTCAGAGGACGCGCGGGCAGGGCTCGCGGCTCGGGTCAGGGGGCGCCAAGCTGTCCTGGCCTTGACCAGTGGGGGTGAGGAAGGCTGGGGAGGGGCATCATTCCTGTGGCCTCTCCCGGGTTCGGATGGGAGCTTCCGTGCGATGCGCGTGGACACAGCGTCCGGGAGGAGCGTCCGGCCTGACGCGCGTGTTACTCGGGGAGCTGTCTGCCTGGCGCTGCTCGGGCCGGGCCCGCAGACGCGGACGCCACGAGTGGAATCTGGGGCCCGCCCGAGACACCCTGGGCTACAGTAACAGAAGGAAGTCATCATTAATGGGTTTCGTTTTCCTTTTCTTTTCTTTTCTTTCATTGTATCTATATGAGAAGATGGATTTTAGCTGAATATATTCCACAATAGATGTAATTCAAGCCACCATGCTGTATGCCTTAAACTTACACAGTGATGCATGCCAATTCTTTTTCAATAAAACTGGAAAAACAGACTTCTATTTGGTAAATTGGAAAGGCCACAAAGCAAATTTTAATAAATTCCAAATAAATAAAAATAAATAATAAATATAATGCTCTTGGATCACAATTCAATAAAAATAAAAATTTTAAAAGTCAGAGAAAAATATCCTCCTGGTTAGATGTCAAAATGTTAATCTTAAGAAACTATTGATGAAGGTGTACTTCAAATGAAAGAGCAGACATCAGACTCTCCGGGATAAACATAAAATGGTACCTGTGGGAGCCTTCATAATACATATATTTAAAGATCCTAATTCTAACTTTATTCCTTTTGTATATACTCATGTAACAATTTGTAGTAAAGGGCTTGTTGATATACCTTGATATGTATTCACTCCCAAACACATACAAGTACATAAACATACAAATAAATAAATAGGTATTAATTTGAAGTCTTTAACAATAGTTTTAAAATATAATTAAGTTAGTAATAGAGTAAATAAAACAATGTATATGCTATTAATGTTCTTGAATTAACAGTTGCCTGCAGACAGCAGAGGCACAAATAATGACTATTAATGACCATTAGCCTTCACGTGCATACAAGCGCTTGTGCCGTAAGTTCTTACCAATTGCTCCCTTTTAATAGATGAAGAAACTGAGGCTCAGAGAGAAGTGCTTCCTGAGAGTCACACAAAGAGGCAGTGTTGAGCCAGGATTTAAATTTAGACTCCGTGTGTCCCCAGAAAATGGTTTGGTTTTTGACCAGACTGCCTCATAGTTACACGCTACGGCTCCTGGCAGCCTGCTTTTGTTTGGGGTTGGTACAGGACCAAAACATAAGGACAAAGTCAAAACTAGCCACACTTAAACTAAAATGCAAAAGATAAACCAGTCACGGTATTTAAAGGAATATGAAAGATGCTGTCCTGACGAGGAGAGAGAAGGGTTCTTTGGAAGCGTTCTATAAACAGCTTAGGAACACATCCCGCCAAGGAGTCTACGGAATGGAAGAGAAGGGATGCCCTGGGCCCTCAGAGAAGGAAACGCAGGGGGCAGAAGTGCCACAGAGCCCGTACGGCACCAGCCCGTTTCCAACGCGGGGACGCAGCGCTGCACGGGCGGGGGGTGGGGAGCACACTCGCCGCCAGCACGCACAACAGGCCGGCGCCTGGGCTTTTCCACGCACCTGGACGCCGCGGTGCAGTGCGTGTTGAAGCGGCTCCTGTGGCAGAGCAGGTCCTTCACTACCTCAACATACTGACCAACGCCTTGAAAACAACATGTTCCTTTTTGACTACGCTAAATTATTTCCCCCAAAAATGTGAAAAAACGCTTACACCTAGGAATTTATGAACAGTTGTTGACTACTTTTATGACTCAAAAGATCTGAAAAATCAACCATATGTTGTAACAGGGTTTCCTTTTTCTTGCGGTCTGAGGGTAACATGGAGAGAAAGACAGACAGCACAACAGCAAGAGCCACTAACACACTGAGGGGTCTGGTTTACGGGAGTCAGGCGCTCTGCTAAGTCCTTACGTGCATCATCTCACTCAGGTCTCCATCACTTCACGAGGCAGATGCTATTATCCCCATTTCACAGAAGAGGAAACTAACGCTTAGGAGAGCTGAGTGATTTGCAGACGTCTACACAGCTTACTAACAAGGTTTAAGCACTAATGGCACAACAAATAATTTAAATTTGCAAGGAACTCTTTGCATTAACATAAGGATAATTTCTCTCTGCCATTAAACTTCGGACACCTGCCTCTACAAGTGCCTTGTCAGCTAGGTTAAAATATAACAACCTGATTCATATAATATCATATGCTCACAGTGTGTACAGAACTTATCCTCAAGGAACTGAAACCTGAAAACACACATGGGACATAAATACCACTCTCTTTATATAAACCTAGAACTACTGTCATTTTGGAATGCTGGATTAAAATCAGCAGGTATTATTTAGTTACGGAGGAGAAAGCCTTCTCTATGCGTTGCTTGATTTTAAAAAGTTCCTTGTAGAAAGAGAGAAATATAGGTTCACCTGAGAGTGAACTACAAACACAGAGTGAGTGTAAATAAAACACACTGAAGTGGGAATCCAGGAGTGGGGACAGGAGTGTGACAGAGAAAAAGAGGGCGTTAAATAAAAGGTGCCCCAGGGAGGGCTCTAACAGGTTCAAGGCGGAGAGCACTCTGGAAGGAGTTTCAGGTGAGCAGTGGGCTGGTTAAAACATCACTTGAGAGACAGGAGACGCCCGCGTCGGGGCGAAGGTAAGCATGCCGCCGATGCCCGCTGAGGCTGCACAGCAGCCCAGAATTACCCAGCGGTAAGGGCAGTTCGTCAGGATTCTTAATTCCTCAAAATCCTCCTGACTGAAATCCAAAGAGCCAGAGAGGGAGTAGACGTGAGATAAGCAGATGCACTTACAGGCAAACAGAATCAAAACGCCCTGGTTTCTCTCAAGGGTTCATTTCTCAAGATAGAAGGGTTGGATCCATGGTATAATTTTAGATCTAAAAATAATACCAAACATGTTTTCACAAGAGAGATTGTTAGTGTCTGATAGTTCTAAGCTTGGAAGTGCTAATGGGTGTCCTTATGATGGGAAAAATTTAGGGAAAAATGAGTCATCTCTGCTGCCTTTAGGTCCAGGAGGAACACTTGTTTTTTTCAGGGACTCTGTATAAGAACAGGTGGCACAAACTCAAGCGGTAATAAATCATCCAAATGCTTCTTCTACTCCCAAACCCCTGTGTTTTACTGCCTCCTGCCCAATTTAGAGAAAAGAGAGGAGGGGGCAAGAGGGTCAGGTGAGAAGTGCCGATGGCCTCCACCCTTGGCAATATGGCAAAACGAGCACCCAAAACAGCAAAGCCTGCCCGCCGGTCCTGTTCACACACAGCAATCGAGTGGACGGGCCCTAACCCTTTGTCATAGAAGGGCCAACGGTTCACTCCCCCTCTAACTGCAGCCCTAGTTGATTAATTTTCCCCACTGTTAGCAGCAGCGCCCCGGGCAGTGCCAAGTGCTGAGCAAGCGAGCAGCTCCCCGTCCTTGGGGCGAGCCGGCCGCGCCGCCGGAGGTGCTTACCGGGGCCCCACGTGCAAGATGCACTGCTCTTCCCGCTGCATCTTCTCCAGCGCCTTGTCGATCCCGATGGGAATGTCGTGGTCCTCGCCCTCGCCCACGGTGAAGACCACATCTCGGCAGTCAAATGTCCTGTCGCCACAGCGGCCCTCCAGGTGGACTGCGGGGAGCAGACGGACAGACGGTCACTGGGGAACCGAGGGACGCGGCCCGTGGTCACCTGCCCTTCCCATTTCAGCTGACACCCGAGTGGTGTGACTTGTCGAGGCCTAGGCTAGCCGGTCGGAAAACTCAAGAGCAATCATGTTTCTTCCCGTTTTAAGTTTAAACTTTGAATTACCGATAACCGCGACAGTAAGATAGCTCAGTGGGTAATAAAACAGTGGGAAATCGGTTTAACTTAAACCCACGAAACGGCAGAGGCTTCCTCACAGGATCAGGAAATACTACATTATTAGACAATTATCAAAATGCCAATAATTTAATATCTAGAACTGCACCCTGGCCTCGGGTGCTCGGGTGAAACAAGGAACGGCGGCCTCCCCAGCGGCGCGCAGGTGAACCCGACGCAGAGCTGTTTCTCCTGAGTCCTAAGCTCGTCCACAAATATAGCTGAATAAAAATGGAAAACCCAAAGGCGACATCGCCAGCTACTGACACAGCTCTACCCCTTGGTGGAGAACTGAATGTAAAGTGAGGCGGAATCCATAAACACTCGACTGTAACCTCACAAACCAAACTGCCTGCCCGCCGCCTCTACAACGCGACGTGCAGAAGTCAGCTTCTCGGGGCCCAACTCCCCCTCCACTCAGGCTCACTCATTTCCGGGGTAATTTCATGTTAGATAAGGGGCTTTTATGTTCTTTCAAGACAAAATAAAAAAATGCATATTTTTTTTTCTTGATTGATTAGCCTTCCCCCCCCAGGATAAACAATTCTCTGAAACTTTCAACTACTTTTAACAGTAAGGGTTATTATTCATTCCTCACCATTTAGGTCTTTGGCTCAGTAAGAAAAATCGATTGCTTGTATCACGGCACAACAACGCCATAATGTGTCTTTCTTAAGAAAATTCTTTATTCTTTTATAATATAATGGTCTAGATTAAAATGTAATGATTTCCTAACATGCTTACTTTTTTTTGACTGGTTGCTCTACTTTAGATCAATAACTTGCTTTAGAAACTAAAAAATTTTTTTTAAAAATCACTTGTTCTGCCCGGCTGATACGGCTCAGCGGTTGAGCATCGACCTGGGATCCAGGAGATGGAGATCGAGGTTCAATGCCTGGTCAGGGCACATGCCTGGGCCGAGGGCTCGATCCCCAGTGGGGGGCGTGCAGGAGGCAGCCGATCAATGACTCTCTCATCACTGATGTTTCTCTCTCTCTCCCTCTTCCTTCCTCTTTGTGAAATCAATAAAGATATATATATATTTTTTAAAAATCACTTGTTCTGTTATACCCATTCCATGAGACAATTATTTTCCAAATACAAATCTAATTCCAACTTACTCTACTTTTGAACTACATGATCTCAAAGGTCCTGTGAAGCTCTAAAATTCTATGATTCTATAACCCCGTAATATAACTCTCAATGTAGGCGAAAAACCAGTTTCAAAGGTAATTCCCACAGTTAATCACTTGATCGCTTACTTTTAGCCTGGGCCTGAGAAATGAGAGAAACTCTGAAGAGGAAACAGCAGCTATGTATACCCTAGGGGCCACACTGTCTCAGGGGCATTCATGCCTTTCTAATTCACTAGGATTAATACCACTCTGATTTGTTCCTGCTGCAGACTTAGGATGGAGTCTAAGACGCTCTGCCAAACTAGAGAAGGCCTGACTCTCAGGGTGGAGCTGGCATAGAGGAATTTTGTCCTTTGTCCCATACTCATAAATGCTGATGATTCTATTCCGCTCACTTCTAGAATGCTCTGCATAAAATAAACGTAATCAACTTGCAATACATTGAAAGTTCTTTTGAATTGGGAAATATTTTCAAAATAAATTCAACTTTATTATTTTCAAATACATACATATACTAGAGAAGTTCAACAGAGAGTCCAAGGCTTCAGATATTTTTACTAGAGTAAATGCTGATGCTTCTAAAGAAGTTGAGAGTTCTGAAAAGTTTCCATCAAGTATTTTAAAATCTGCCCAAGAAATTCAGACCAAGGCGATGACACTTTTCATGAGATCTGCTGAGTGAGCAAAGTGAGTTCCAGCCCACGTACTGTGGAAGTCCTCAAGCGCTGAGACTACCCTAGCAGCTCACGAAGGAGCTGACAAATCTTTCTGTCTGAGGTTTATTGTTAGAAGTATCTTCCTCCCTAAAAGAGAGTACATTTGTGGGGGAGGAAACTATCAGTACATTCATTGTGGTTTTTGGTTGATCAAGTTTGAATGTGTTTTCAAAACAGGAAATGCAGAGACTGCAAGGACTCCTGCCGTGTGTCACTTTCCTGGCTTGCTTCTGGGCTCAATGCATGTACTAGATATTAAAATTACATAAATAACTTCAGAAGTTCTCTTTACATGTGATACCCCATGACATTAGGAAAAAAAGACTGGCTACTAACAAACACGTTGGGAAAGATAAGCGAAGCAAGCAAGCAAAACAGAAAAGTTAGCGTCAAATGATTACGCAGGCGTGATTAGAGAAGCAAAAAATTCACTGCAGCTGGCCTACGACAATAGACGGCAGGACCAACGTTAGTAGCCACCTAATAGGAAGGTAAAAAAATTGTAATAACTTTTATAAATGCTACCTTATATATGGACTAACCTTTCTGTCTGGCAAATCTCACTCTTCTAAATTGGACCTGTGCAAGCACTACCATAAAATCTGAACCTGATAAGCTGATCTGCGTGCACACCCCCCAGTTTGTGTGCATATATAAAACCACCGCCTTTTAATATTGACGCTATCTGGAATGTTAGACGAAAGGAGGTATGGTAGCCTCAGAGAGTATAGCCCACTGATTCTTTACATCTACAAGTAGCAAAGGAGCTATACAGCTCCTTAACTGGCTTCTAAACTTGGAACACTGGTGTGACAAGTTCTACAAGACTGCTGACAAGCACTCACACACCACCTCCGAGCCACAAAAATGCATGCCTATTGCCACAGTACGGTTCCCCCTTCCTGGTGAAAGAGGCAGACATGCCCAGCTCCTACAAAGCCAGTTGCTATTTTTTAAATTATCTCAATGATTTTGCTACTAAGGAAAACTATGGCAGCTCTGGCTGTGGAAGCAACTTCTGACCTTGCATCTCTTAATGCAAATACTCACTTAATAAATATTTAATAATAACCACCATGACTCACTGGGAGCTCGGCCTCAGGAGGTCTGTTGCTAATTCCAACCAGCATAATTTACGGGAAGCAAATGATCTATGACGTGCCCACAGAGAAAAGTACATACAGGATGCTTCTACTTAGGGATTTTTTGGTAAGGAAAGAAATACACAAGTTAAAAAGGGACAACATTTTCTTTTGACTTACAAGCCTATGCAACTTAAAGGGGAGACGGAGGTCCTCCAAACCCCAAAAAGTCAAACCAAACCAAATTACTCGAGTTTAGCTATGCAGTCCGAGTGTAACCACATCAAGCGAGCCCCGGCTGCTGCAAAACATCACTTAAACTGGAGCTCTGACTTATTGTTCTGACTGCCCTGGAGCAATTTTGTTTTGAAGAGCACAGAACACCCTGTTCTGAATGTGGCTGGCACATGAACTCAATGTGCTGACAGCAATTTGTACTCCGATTAAAACGTGTGTGTGTGTGTGTGTGTGTGTGTGTGTGTGTGTACTGCAGTAACAAAAACTGGAATGTAAAAACTGTGTAATTTGTATTTTAGGAAGCAAAAGTGAGAGAAAGAGGCTCCACAACCTAAAAATAAAGTGCTGTAAACGCTCCAGCCTAAAGAGTAGCTCTGGTGAGCGTCTGTTTTCCCTTCTCTAATTATAGTTGCTGGTGTCTGATAGCTTTGCACTCATTCCCAAAACAATTACTGGGTCATGGGGATCTAAATGGGAATGTTGTAATAGCATTACTACTAGGCAAGATCGGCTATTTGGCCGGAGAAAACCAGGTTGTGACAGGTTACTCCCACTTGCCAAGGGTTTTTTCCTCTGCTGCCTAATTCATGCCAAATGAGCTTCTCTCTGTCTGTGTCTCCTGCCTAATAGAGCAAGAGCATCCAGGAGACAAGGGATCTTAATGGCCCCCTGAGAAGGCAAACGAGGAAGCAGAGATGGATTTCTAAAATCAGAGAGCATATTTAATCACTGATTAGAAGAGAAACTGTTCCCACTAGGCCTGGTGATCTGTTTGGGGGCAAACTGCCTCCCTTCTTCCTCTGCACCACTCTACTATTCCAGATGAACAAATATCACTGTGAGGTGGCTTATGAAACTGAGGGACAGATGCTAACTGACAGCAGGCCTGGAAGCTGACTGCTTGAGTAGAATAACATTTATACGGCTGACATATATCTCAGCCTAAACAGAAGCACATGCAGAGCAATCAATTCTACACCAACACAAACCTTCGCCACTCTGCCCTTTACACGGGTTAGCAGTTTCATCAGACCTGGATCCCAGACCCAGTTTGCCAGTAAACAATTGTGGCTTTGGGCAAGGTCATTTAAATGATCTGACTCAGTTTCTTCATCTACAGAAAAGGGGAAATAATATTAGCTAACTCATAATTGTTCAGAGGATTCAATTAAGTACTGATTAAAGCTTCTGGCCCAATACCTGGTATTCACTCGTTCTTTACGTCAGGGTGTCTACTACGTGAAAACACTGTGTTACGTACGGATACAGAGATGAACTCAGCGAATATTAGCTATTACTTTCCTGTAAGGTAAATTATACCAGATAAAACATGCTTTAGAACTTGGTAAAAGAAACCAACCAATGGCTTCACAGAGAGGGCTGTCAAAATGTGAAAAAAACGTAAAAGTAGGCAAAGGCAATGTCTTCTGCTCCTTTGTACCTCACAGTGCCCAACACACAGTTCAGGGCCAGAAAGTAAATATTTATTTAATGAGTAATCTGAAAACAGGACAGTAGGGGAAATGGTAGTAATTTTCACTCATCTATGGAATTTCCCTTGTTGATATATTAGTCAGTACTCCTATTTTCAGTAAGTT